ATGTATGTTAGAATGCATTTCCTTGTGGTCTTTGATGATGGTTTCTTGTTGGTGTTTTGATTCGACTTTAAACACTTTTGATGAAATTTTGTGAATAACCATTGTTTTTGAAGACCGTTTGTCTTTACTCATTTTAAAGGTATTTTATCGATATGTCACAAAGCTAAAATATCTAATGTGCCATTCCCTGTAATGTGCGTGAAAACACTTTGAGAATACCTTTACCCCCATCCGTTAAATTCAATCCATGTTAGATTCTGGCACGAAACAATATCATTTTGAGGGTTCATCGAATACTATGGAGTAATAGGCAGCTGTTTTGTTATAGTTCAAGGCTCCTCATCAGTGTGCACCCAAGACTTTTAGTTCATGAGATCAAACCCGTTCGCCAATGAGTCAGTTGAGTAGAAATTCAATGATTCGTGAATTCTAACTTTCAAGTATTGGTTTTGTAGGGATTTTGTTTGGTCTACGAGCTCTCTAGCCTTGTAACTAGAAGGTGTTGGGTTCGAACCGTGATAGCGTAGGTGCGTACTGTGAAGAGTCCCAAACTGGGCTGACGAAACAGCTATCCAGTACTCCACGGTTTTCCAGTGGTTCTCTAAGTGATGTCAGCTCATGATGAAGTCCACCATCTAATTCTGATTTTTTTAATTCGTTATATAGCGACACAGCAACCAATGACTTCAATAAGCATCCGCTTCACGTTGATGTGTTGAACCCTATCGGTTACGACGTCTAAGCACAGCTCCAGGATATCGATTCAGTGAGCTCACGATTGGCAGTTAGATTACAGGAATCCAGATCTCTTCCGAAAGTCCGAAATCACAAAGATTATTATTATCATTATTAATATCGTGTACCACAATATACTCAGCGGAGCCTAAGTATTCTTTTTTAAGTTAAGTCATTAATATCTAAATAGGTTATACTTCACAGCCTTACTGTGTTGTAAAACCAGGGAAAAAAAGAAATAAAACTATGCGTGTAGGCAACTGAAATACATCAAAGTTTTCAAATAATTGTCAGTATTAATTTAGTTAGTGTTTTATGATGGAAAGTAGAAAATTAGAAAACTAAGGAGAGAAGGCGAGAGAGAGAGACGTAAGTGAAGTAAAAGGAATAAATCTAATTGAAATTGACACTTTTTTATTGATTCGTCTATAAAATGACATAATTTTGATAGTTGATAGACACAGTTGGGTAGATAGATGGATGAATGTCCTTCAGAAAGAGAGACAGGGAGGAAAAGATTTCTTTACAATCGTTTACAATGATGTAAGTAGTGTTGTTCAGTTGCAAAAATAGCTATGTACTTTAATCTGTATCAGAATAATGGAACTAGTAGTGTAAAAGCAAATGACATCAATTCCGATCTACCAATTCTAATCTCTGTTGTATGAAATATTCTTTAACATAACTGAAAAAAGCGATCTGATATATGCACTTCTTATTTATCAAATGATATTTAGAAACAGAATTTGGAACCGTTGATTTCATTGGTGATTGTTTCGATTCAAATCTCAAATCTCACTCAGTCGTTAGGATGCCTGGAAAAGAGAGGAGGTTAGAGGTGAGGAGAGCAACCTAACCCAAGGCTTGAAGCTTTATGTCCTACCTGGAGTACAAACGAACAAATAAAACTTCTGGAAAGATTCTAGCATTTATAACATCTGAATTCAAACATTACTCATTAGGTTACTGAACCATAAGGATTAACATTTACTTGAAATGTATGGCAGTGACTTGTTTACTTTACTAAAGGATAATCTCAATCCTCTGTTGATCCGTCAAAATCCTAAAGCATCCTAACAAACAGTAGAAATAGTTATAATTCATTCACATTGATCCACGCTCTCGGATCTGACTGTTACATGACACCTTTATATTAAATACCACAATATGTCAATATGGGGTACGTAACCTGTCATACGCTCTGATGATGTTCTCGTGACTTGTTGTTGCCAGATCTGCCAAGGACGATGGGTTAGTGCGCGACCTAATGGTTGTATGCAAAGTTTGAAGAAGACTGTGTGCTATATGCATGCGCCTTGCCCTGATAATGTTTGTGAGTGCTCACCAAGCACACATGTTGTCCGGGGTTCGATCCCCGGTCACAAACGCACCTCTTTACCTCGCTAAGCCAGTATTTAGACTGGTAAAGAGGGAAGGTTAGGCATGAGGCTAGCAACTTCATCCCGTAAAAATATTCACCACTGCTACCGAAACTTCAAGTCTCTAGCTTGAAGCCATATGTTCCACTGAGAACGTAAAGGAATAATAAAAAATATAAATAATATACATTTTTTGATTATAGCCTGATTCCACACCGTATTATTGGTACAGCTATGGAATTTTTAGCATGTGGTATCGGTAGCCCAAATTTTTCAGGCCGACATAAATATCAGGTGTGAGTCGTCAGGGGATCGAACCCCAGACCATGTGCATGATCGGTGAGAGGCCATAACCAGTGTGCCAAAGACGCACATAAACATGGGAGTATTAGACAGCTGTTTCTTCAACCTAATTTGGGACTCTTCACTAGTACCTACCCATCACCAGGGTGCGAACCCAACACCTTCTAGTTACAAAGGCGAGCTCGTAGACCAATCAGCCCCTGGGACACTATAGTTAGACAGTTGGAGAAACGGTACTCAGATCTATCTAACACCAACATGCACTAGGCTACTTGAAAGCTGATCCTTTGTTCTTTATTCTTCCCCTGCTTATATACCTATTGATATCGGGTCTATAGGAAGAAATCCTTTGTGAGATTGATGCATTTTAATAGAAACGATTTCATTGATATCTGTTCAGAAAATATCATTTCTATTATAAGGTTCCTATTCATTTCATCGATTTCATGAATTGGTGTCAGCTAGAGAACAAGTGTAAGTAGGAGAGTATCGTTCTCGTGGAAGATTGAACTCCATACTGTCAACTTTCGGAGGAATCAGGTTGACATTCTAGCATAAAATCACAGGATAATAAAAGCTGAAAATCGTGCTCCCCGATAACTAAGCGATAATGTGTCAACTTCGCAAAGTAGCTTAGACTAACTAGTAGGCGATGTCCCCATTTTCGGTTTTCAATGGTTGAAACCAAAGAAAGGAGAACTCATACACTGGAATTAGATGTTGAAATTATTGAAAAACAAACAAAAATGTACCGATGGGCTGGTTCTCCCTAGTCACTAGAGCATTTCAACAATGTGCATGCGTAGCCCTATGGAGGATGAAACGATGCATCAACAGGTAATAAGACGATTTCATTTCATACAGATGAGTCACGTTTACCAGGGATATGATTGACTTCAAGCTGGACAATGAATACACCTCAATTGGAGGATCATTCTAAACTGGGGAGTAGTGGACAGCTTTTTCGTCCTAATCTAGAAGTCTTCTCTGCAAACGGACACTTGAAAATTAATCTAATACTCCCAGGTGAAGTCGCTTGGAGTTCTGGCAAGAAGTCGTAATGAGTGGGGTCCAACAGTTTTGGTGTGAGGACACATACTCACCGATGACATTGACTGGAACTCCTGCCATATAACGCGAGTTGCAGAAGTTAGAAATAATGGGTCATTAGGATCCATCTTCGTGAGAGAATAGTCAACGGTCTCACTTTCTGACCTGAGTGCTGCAGATTCACTTCATTGTTTTCAAAGCTTTTCTTATTGATGTCATCTAATAATCTAACCTTTTAGACAAAAACACCAAGAAACTTCCTGTTACCAGTTCATAATGAATAGTCGACAAAATCTATTTTTTTTTCGATTGCCCGGACTATTCTGACCTTCACATATATGCCTCAGTTTACCAGATTAAAACAAAAAAACCAGCGAACATTGAGCATGAAATCTGACTGGTCAGTCAACAGAGGGTAGGCAGTTAACGATGCTTATCCTACCAGTTTGGTAGGCAAGCGGAAAGAAAGAAAATTAAAACCAGGATCTCTGTCAACCATAGAAAAATGACAAAAGAAAGTAGAGAAACAGAAAGAAAAACACACACCTTCTATGAAAAGAAAACTATTTGTTCAATGTTTAAGCCACTGGAAATATTAGACAGTTGAATAGAAAGAATAATAAACTTTTCTGGTGGGAAGGTTTTCTAAAGAATGTATTCACTCAACCATGACACAGAAATGCATTAAGAAAAACAGCATATTAAAATGACAATATTTTGTATGAACACTGCAAGCATTACTACCTAGACTTATGTTCTGGTGAGTGATTTTAAGATTACTCCGTTACCGTTAGAATTATAATTAGAAGCCTCACTGATTACATAGGTTTGGTAACCTGGATTTCCTGAGTTCGGTATTAGAAATAAACAACTGCCCTAGTGCTCTCTATTTCCAACAGTTTTCTAAATGATAATGGTTTCTGTAATGAAAGCCTACACTGAAATTATCAATGCAATGGGACTTTTAAATTGTGTCTAAGTTTGCCGTTTTTATTAGCGGACATTCCATCTCACTTCAACTTCGCGCTTTTCAACACCTTCTAGTACAGTAAATCTATCACTTTTCGTTCTTAAATGATAGATCTCTTAACTAATATAATTTTTTACCGTCATGAAAATGATTAGATTGCAAATCTAGTTGGATACACCATCTCTTATAACCGGTGATACGACCTCGTTGACTGTGAGTAATGTGAACCTAAGCCGCTAACAAAAACTACTCTAACTACCAATTAAATAATATCGCTGGCGCACAAACTGTGAGAGAAAAGGGACTATGAAAACTGAAATGTTTGTGATTATAATCATAGGTAAATGTCAAGTGGCAAAACAGTTAATGTCATATATAGAATAATTCATAGGATGGATAGAACTTGACAAAGGGTGTGTAATTATAGGATTAGTAGACAAATCGAATAAAAGAAAAACGCTACGTAATATTGTGTAAAATTTGATAGCATAGAATTTAACTATTGGCATGAGAGGTTTTGGTGCGTCGGTGGCACAGCGGTGTAGTGTTCGCCGACCACGCAGGTGGTCAGGGGTTCAGTCCCCGGCCGGCGCATTCCTTTACCTCGCTAAGACTGGTAAAGAGGGAAGATTGGGCATGAGGCTAGCAAACCTATCGCTACCGAAACTTCAAGCCTCTAGCTTGAATCCGCCCTATATTCCACTGGGAACGTAAAGGAATAAAAAAATGAGAGGTTTTTATTGTCCTGGACAACAATGGAAACACTGTACTGTAATGCTGAATTCAGAGCATTTAAATGATCTTGACAGGTAAAACCTTCTCTGGTAAGTTTGAAGAGTCAGTAGCCAAAGAGATGGTAGACTTCACAAAGAATGGGAATTAAAAGAGGTACCATGAGTGCTTGATAACCGCAAATTATACATGTTTTAAAGCTATAGGCTAATATCGGGCAAAATTAGGCAAAAAGTATAGGGCATATAACACTCAAGTGTCACAAAAGTTCCGGTATCAACCTAGACACCATATTCAATAAACCTTTACAGGGAAATAAAGCGAAAGAAGACAAACTGAATTTCTTTTAGGCATATATAAGGATATTCTTCAATAGTCGTTTCATCGCTTTATCTAATTAATAAATATGTATTTCAAGAGTTCACTGACTGTAATTCCAACAAGACGGTACAATAAATGGAATCTGTTGAATGACAACAGTACCTTTGTGGATGATGAAAACGTAAAGTTTATATAGCTACAAAGACGAACAAACCAAATGAAGGATTGTAGTTTTGATTTGGTGAATGGTGACTAGCAGTGGAATTCTATATGGGACTCGTCAGATGGATGTACACCAGTGACTGATAGTGCCCCTCTGCGACTCGAAACCAGTAACCATTGTTTCAAACGCCAAAGCGCCCTCGACCAGATAACCTGGACCACGAAAATTACCACTTGTGCAATGGGTGTCAGATATTATCTAATTCATTTTCGATTTTCTTGTTGGCTGATTGGGTCAAACTGTTCTGCTTCTGTTAACATGTTGGCTCCTGATGTGGATATTTCAGTGATGTCTGTGGATTAACTTTAAGTAATTTCGTGGATGGTTACTAGCAGTGGGATCCAGGAGACACAGCTGGAAAGTCAAAATTTAATTAAAAAGTAATACCTATGGCCTTAGTTTAAAAACTTTCTTATTTGTCAGCTAATCTGAGTAGAACAATATTCATTACACTGAAAAATTATTGGTTGGAGGATTTCATCATGAGCTGACATCAGTTAGAGAACCATCGGATAACCGTGTAGTACTGGACACCTGTTTCGTTAGCCTAGTTTTGGACTCTTCAGTTGTACGTACCCACCCCATCGGGGTTCGAAACCAACACCTTCTTGTTACAAGGTCAGCTAGCTCGTAGACCATTTAGCCACTGAGACCCACCAATCCAATGGCCAGTCCATGAATTCTAACTTCTGCTAATTCATGACATAGAGCGACCACTTCGTAATGTCTTCTTCGATGAGTTACTGCCTCACCTTCAACCTGCTATGCCCTACTAGTCACAGCTTCCCACTAGAACCCCAGATTAACTGCCTGAATAGGGCCAGTCGCCAGTATTGATTTTGTAGGGATTTTTGTTTAGTTTGATTGGTTGGCGGATTTTAAATGAACATCATTTATCTTTCAGAGGAGAAAAAAGAGGTACTGTGATAGGGAATATCTACTATTCAGCTTTCAGCATCTTACGGCTTATTCTTAAGTTCACTTTTCAATTCATTTCAAATAATTAGGTTCAAATAACCTATAGGCATACCAATACACTTCACTACATATATATATATACATATCCATCTGTTTATACTGAAGCATATTCTTGAGAGATCTGCTGACAAAAAAATACTAGTTGATTGTGTCTGTCTGTCTGTCTATGTGTCTGTATGTGTGTGCGCGTGTGTGGCCGCGTCTAGATGGAGATAAGCAGTATTATACGAGGCATAGTTTCTGATATATATCTTTTTGAAATCTTGTCTTTACATATAACATATTTCCTCTTTTCTTGACAAGTATGTATGTAATCTGAATTCTTACTGAGAGATCTGTCATTTCCTCCTCTCCTCTCCATCAATCAATCAATCATACAATTAGGCAGATCTAATAGTTATCAGCTGACTACTACTGTGTATCTATTTTTATTTACTCTTCTCTCACTTACTGACAGAGATAGTAGAGAATGAAGGCAATCGAGAAATTGTTGAGAGATGCAAAAAAAGAGGCCTTTGCTGTTGCTTGTCTTATTTTTTTTACACGCATAACTATTGCCCTAGATGAGGAGGTTGATGATGATAATGGTGGAAAATTGCACAAACAGACAAGAGAGAAAGATAGAAAGATGCAGGCGATATATAGAGAAAAATATATCGAAACAATTTAAAAATGCGGTCCACTTCGTTTGATAGACATTAATGATGTAGGAGATATTGTTTTCTGTTGCTTTGTCGCATTTTAGAACTCATCAGTTGTAATCAAATGACCAACCAAATCTCCAAAACTTTCAGTCTTTAGACTTGCTATATATTACCATCTTTAGCGTAACTCTGTTAAGATTTGGTATTTTGTTCTCAATAGTCAGTTGATTTTTTTGTAGCAATTGTCTTCAGTCTTCATAGGAGAAGTTCCTGGGTTCGAACCCCAGTGTGTGCGTACTGTTGAAGAGTCCCAGATTAGGCTGACGAAACAGCTGTCCAGTACTCCTCAGGTTTTCCAATGGTTCTCTAACCAATGTCAGCTCATGATGAAATCCTGTAACCAATCAACCAAATCCCTACAAACCAATACTTGAATTTTAAGAGATTATTATTTGTCCATTGAGTACCGAGTGGAACATCACATATCCACTGGAACCGGTTCACTGCCCTCTTTCCCTAACTGGTCATACAACTTTCTACAAGGTCTCATTTCCCCCAAATATTATCTCCTTCATATCACTGTCAAACGTTCAACCTGTTACTTTCCGTTAAGCCTCTACTGTAGAGCCTAATGTGTGATTTCACTCAACGGTCTTCACAGTATAGGTTCAGTTCATTTCCATTTCTTTCCACATATCAGTTGAGAGATAGGTTTTTGGCTAGCTCGTCTATGGAGTTCCTTGGTGTTTGCTTATTCTTAATGACCATCCTATGCTTAATAATGATACTAGGAAAGCGTTTCTTTTATTCCTTTACGTTCCCAGTGGAACATAGGGCGGATTCAAGCTAGAGGCCTGAGGTTTCTGTAGTAGTGGTGTTTTTATTTTTAACGGGATGTGGTTGCTAGCTTCATGTCCAACCTTCCCTCTTTACCAATCTAAATACTAGTTTAGCGAGGTAAAGGAGTGCGTTGGTGGCCGGGGATCGAACCCCGGAGCACATACGTAGTAAGCAAGCATTCTAGCACTGTGTCACCGACGCATTAGTAAGGCATTAATATAGAGCAGCTCTTGCGGTAGACTACATTATGCACATTAGGAATAATTAAACGTATGTTAAATTCTAACTAATTGCTCCGACTATTTCAACTGTGGTGTGGTTGAGCTCAGAATCGTGCATATTTTCAGTACATATTCGTAAGTGTGAAGAGAATACCATTTGTCTTTCCTTTTATCTTGTATATTGACCTAACTATCCACAAATTTTTCTATGATTCTGAAGAATCCCTCCCGAGGAAATAACTTAGAATTCAGGACTTTTCTAACTAAATAGTTGAGTAACATCATTTCTCATTTTCTTCAGGTTTCAGATTGAAGGTTAGACGAAACATTCAGACTTCCCATTCAACTGCCTTCTAATATCTGAATGCCCAGAGTTATATCCTTTAGTTGAGTGATTATATTTTGTCTGATACAGTGATACAAGAAATTCAAGTAGTACTTTCAATTAGATAAAAAAACTGATTACTCTTCCTACCTATCGGTCAACTACTATCCAATATTATTTTTTGATTACAGCTTGATTCCACACCGTATTTTTGACACAAGTATGGAGTTCTCATCATGTGATATCGGTAGCCCAAATTCAGGCCGACCAGTGATATCAGGTGTGCGTCGGCAGGCGGTAGAACCCCGGACCATGTGCATGGTCGGCGAGAGTCCTAAGCACTGTGCCACCGGCGCAAATTTTCATTAAACTAACTAACATGATGATCGTGTAAACTGTAGTTTTAAAAGTAGAGGTTCAACGTCATTTGGTTGGAAGACTTAGGCGAGAAGTTTAATACCAAAATCAAACTTCACCTCACTGAACAGAATGAATATTTGACTAAAAGATCAAGATCTGACTTTTGGTTTTTGGAGCCATGTAGACAGGTGTTAACTGCCTATATAAGGTCAGGATATGGCTCGAAAACGTTTCCAGTGGCTTCAATATATCCGCTCTATATAATCTCCCAGACTGACTAAGTTTTCATTATTCTCCATTATTTTTATTCTTTCTCTTGCATATTTCTTTCCAATACAGTTGCTTTAAATTTCCTCCAGTCTCTATCTCTTCGTGACACTTCTGTCTGAAGTTCTTCACTGAAAGTCTAGTCAGCTAGTCAGTCGCTTTGTACACTTTAAACTAAACGACTACCATCAGGTGTAATCAAGCAATCAGTCAGTTTTATAATGCCTGAGTCATGATATCTTGAACAGCTACTAAGTAAAAAGCGTTTACTTTAAATTCAGGCACAGCAGATTCATTTTACTAAGATAATAGATACTCTGTGCTGATGATGAGGAACGCCAAGTGGGCATGAAAGGTCAACAAAATATGGGATCCACTGCCAATTAACTTTAGAACACTAAAACAAAAGAAATTCAATGAGTATTAACTAGTGTAACTTTGAAGCCTATAATTTGAACTAGGTGACACGAATTCGTCAGTCAGGATTTATTATTCAGCTGATTACGTCATCTGTAGTTGAACTTTGATCCAGTATGTCTCAATCTCTTAGTACATGTCAAACAACACATTCTGTTGCTACAATATGTACCATTGGTTGATTGGCATCAGGAGTTTGACTTCACTCTCATCAACCACTAGTACTTGCTCGCCAGAG